GTATTTATATACATAGGCACTAAGAATCATATTGCAAACTTGTAAAACTTTCTTGCATGCGTTACTTAATATAGCCTTGAGAAATGATTGTATCATTTTTAACCTTTTTATTACAATGTTTTTGTACCTAGAACCAGAATGACTATGTATGCAACAAATTGAAAGTATTCACACAAGGTATAGTTTCTCTGATCTCTAAACATCGGTGTCGATATCTGCTGCTATTAACAGTTAAATTTTAGATATGGCTCAGACTGCATCCATAGTATCACGCATAGTGGCATCTTCTATATCTGCTACTGTGAGAGCAGGTAAAATTATAAGAGATGTTATGAGTTATGGAGATCTAAATATAGTAGAAAAAGGCAAGAATGATTTACAAACTGAAGCTGATCGTTGTGCTCAACGGTGTATTATTGCTTCGCTAAGTTCTCAATTTCCAAATATTACTATTATTGGTGAAGAAGGATCGACAAACTGTGATGTACCACCTGATTGGATGGTGACAGAGCTAGATCAAGAAATATTAAAATTAAAATTACCAGCACATCTGGAAAATATTGATCCTAAGGATGTATGTGTTTGGATAGATCCATTAGATGGTATGTATTTATTTCAATTGACATAAATAAAAGTAAAAATACTTTCGTTTGTTACATATATAAAAAAGAAAATATATTGTTTTAGGAACATCAGAATATACGCAAGGACTTGTAGAACATGTTACAGTTTTAGTAGGAGTGGCAGTTGGGCAAAGAGCAGTTGGAGGAGTAATACATCAACCATATTATAAAAATATTGATAGTGGTATATTGGGACGAACTATTTGGGGCATAAGTGGTGTAGGATTTGGTGGTTTCTCACCAACAATACCTGTGGGTGGAAAAAGAATAATCACAACTACACGGTAAATTTTGATTTCACTATCGTTACAGTTATAATTCGTTGTGTTTAATATTAAGAAATATTACCCACCTTTTCAGTTCACATTCAGATAGTAATGTTCAAGCAGCTATAAATGCTTTACATCCTGATGAAATTTTACGCGTTGGTGGTGCAGGGTATAAGGTAATTATACTTGCAATTAATAGATTCAAATTCATCAGAATGGTTACTTTAACTTTAATAGTTACTTTTATCGTAGGTAATACTTTTATTGGAGGGAAAAGCCCATGCTTATGTATTTGCTAGTAAAGGTTCCAAAAGATGGGACACCTGTGCACCTGAGGCTATTCTTAGCGCTGTTGGTGGCACTTTAACCGATTTCTATGGAGAATTTTATTCATATAATGCAAAAACTTCATTTGCAAATGTAAAGGGTGTATTAGCTACTGCTCCTGGTGAAAATCATCAATGGTATTTAAATCAAATACCAGACAAAGTAAAAGAAAAGTTGAAACAGTAATGTATATAGTCCGTTTTCAATTGAAAGATTTATCTTATGCATTTATGCTTTTTCTCAATACAAAATATTTCAAACACGAGATTAGGGGAGAATGATTCTGAAATTGTGTTTTAAAGTCTTTTAAGTTCTACATAATTGAAGACAAATTAAAGCCTTTCACGTCTCAATGTTTTAAAATGAATACAAAAATAAAGCAACAAAAGATTTAAAGCTTGTAATATTTCTACTAAATATCGAAATTTTACAGTTTTGATTTAAATGTATCTCGTAATGCTCGGCGTAGAATTTTTCCCGATGCTGTTTTAGGTATACTATCAACAAATTTGATGCCACCCCGAAGTCGTTTGTGACTCGATACACGATCTGTAATAATTTTTATTAACAGATAATAAATATATTAATTTGTCTGATTTTCAAGACTCACCATTTACAAATTTAACAATGTCCTCTATTGTTATGTCAAATCCATCTTGTTTAACTATAAAAGCAGCTGGTAATTCACCTGCTTCTTCATGTGGTATTCCAATAACTGCTGCATCTTTAACTCCAGGACATGTTAACAATAATGCTTCTAATTCAGCTGGTGGAACTTGATATCCTTTGTACTTAATAAGTTCTTTTAAACGATCTACTATATAGAAATAATACTGTTCGTCATAATATCCTATATCTCCTGAATGTAACCAGCTATCTTTATCGATTGTGGCTGTTGTAGCTTTCTCATCATTGTAGTATCCTTTCATTATTAAATCTCCCTTGAAACATAATTCTCCAATCTCGTTTGGTCCTAGAGGTTCACTCGATTCATTCCCATTTATTGGTATTACCTTTGCTGAATAGAAATACAATAGTATCAAAACGATATTATGAAAAGAGCATATCGATTGTGTTACCTGAAATTCCAGGGACTAGTATGCCTACACTTCCATAATTTGTACTATTACTTGGTGATATAAGTACAGCCAGAGCAGTTTCTGTTAATCCATACCCTTGTTTAATATTTGTTATGTTTAATCTTTTCGCAACTATTTTTGCAATATTTTCTGACAAATGTGCTGCACCACACCTAATCGAACAAAAGTAATTAAGTCATTATTGAAATTTAATGATGGAACTTAATGTTAGAAACAGAGGCTTACCAAATATCCTTCACACTGGATAAGTTGTATTTATCTACAATAGGGTGCTTCGCCAAAAATACCATAAGAGGTGGTACAAGAGTTATGTATTCAATTCTATACTTTTCTATAGTTCGTAGAAACATATTTTCTTCAAAACGTGGCAAAATGACACTCTTATTTCCAAATGCAAGTCTTACAAGAAGTACAGAGAAAGAATATGCATGGAAAAATGGTAACAAAGCTAATGTTGTTACATTAGTATTCAAAATTTCAGGTGTTAAAACTGCAAGACCCCTTATTACTGCTAATAAATTTTTATTCGTTAACATCACTCCTTTTGGTAGACCTGTTGTGCCACTGGAGTATGGAATGACTGCTATATGATCATTATCCACAGAACAAGCGTTGAAGGTACTATCAACAATTACATCTAACATCAAATCCTTCATACTGGGAAACTTATTATTTTCTGATTCTCTTAACATTATCAGCTGTGGCGACCAGAATAACTGAGGATGAATTTTGAGCATGTTAATCGCTCCAACTGTTGATACAAAAATGTATTTTGGTTTTGTGATGTTTAAAGCATATGTTAATTCCCTCTCTGAATAGAGTGGATTTAACGGACTAAGGGTAACACCTAGATAAAATGCAGCACACATTGGTATACAAAATTCTGCATTATTCTCACTGCATATAGCGATACAATCATGTTTCTTTAATCCCTGTTTTTTAAGTGAAATTGCTAGCTTCCGACTGTCATCCAAAATTTCTTTAAATGTTTGTTCCTTTCCCGTATAAGCATCTATCTAAAAACATTTCCATTGTTTAATAAAAATATGAAATTACTTGTACGAACAGTAGAGACGATATTTAAATTATTTACTTGTGCAACCCAATATTTATGAATGTTTAGTTGTTGTAAAAGTAATTGTCCAATGGACAAATTTTTAAATTGTGGAATAGTATCAGCTGGACCATGTAAAATATTTTTCTGTTGCATTTTAAAAATATTTTATTGCACAGCTCACTGGAAAAAAAAACACGTAATTTTCCATCTTTGGTGTGGAAGGTACTAAATATATAAATAATATATTAAACTAACTGCTATTTTCTTTATAGAATTAGTTATTAATTAGTACAATAGTTATTAGAGTAAAAGGGTGGCAGTTCTGAAAAATTATTGGTGTATTTACGTAAACACAATTCTGTTTCTTTTTTAAAATGGATAAAAATAAATTATTCTTTTAAAACCAACGTACCGTATCAACTTACTCCTAATTATGGGTGCGGTATAATAATACAGTGGAATACACGCATGCTACTCACATGTGTACATGCGTATAGCATGTATGGAAGACCGGCAAATTAATGGGGGAGTGTTTCATAAAGTACACAACGTAAATTTTGTCAACTTATAATTATATCTAACACTGTCTTTACAGTAGCCAGTACAAAATATATCTTTTCCAATTTATTGGTAATGCTATATTTACTTTTATCTTACACCATCATGATTTATATAATTTTTTATTCAAAAATTTCAAATGTCGATATGTTAGTTATACATGAAACACTACAAAAGCCAATGGTGGCAGCACCATGCCAGACGTTTCATATTCCGTCAGAGTTTGTACAATCTGAGTTTATGTTGTTGTAGATCAGGTCTAATGTGCAACGTTGGCCAGTCGCTGAAGCTGAAGCTCTGAAGTTGTAAATTTGCTACCAGCAATCTATTATTCTATAGAGTGTCATTCTCGCAAGCTGAGGTTCGTCTCTCTACCGTTGACGGCGCTGGGTTAGAAATTCTTTAAATCTTACAACACTGGCCTAGGTTTGTCGTTGTTCTGTGTAGGCGTATATGTGATGTGAGTAAACGGTGGAAACAGTTCGAGATCACTTAATTTACAAACAAATATTTTGGGAAACGATCAACAAAATAACTGTAAACTGCATCAAAAGAGAACGACGAGGTGTGAAAGATGGGTGTACCGGCTTTTTTTCGATGGTTGAGTAAAAAGTACCCTTCTGTGATTGTCAAATGTACCGAACAAAAGGTAGGTTAGATTGTTTGTTTGTGCGATGAATGATTAATTATACAGATATCGGTTGCATAGGCAAAGTTTATGATTCTTACAAAGTGTTCGTGATTTTTTTCTATATTATGTAATAACTTCAATGGCTTGTGACGTGTTTTTCATGTTTTTGGATACGTTTATTGACAGTTGTATTTGCACTACTGTGCTGTGATAAAAATGTAGTAATGATATGAAGAGTTGTCATTATATAATTCAGTGTTGAGCTTGAAAATAAGTATACACTGATTTTTGAAATAGTATGTTTGTGTTGTAACTAATAGGAATTAATGATTTGCAGGGACCTATAAATTTAGAAGATCCAAACCCGAATGGCGTAGAATTTGATAATCTATATCTTGACATGAATGGTATTATTCATCCTTGTACACATCCAGAGGATAAGTAAATATTCATTTAATTAATTAGCAATGTAAAGTTTTCTGTGCTTGAAAATGTTTTACATGATCAGTAATATTATCGCAGACCAGCTCCAAAAAATGAAGAGGAAATGATGGAAGCTATCTTTGAATGCATCGACCGTCTATTTTGTATTGTGAGACCTCGGAAGTTGCTTTACATGGCCATTGATGGAGTTGTAAGTTTTACATCTAAGAGAAAACGTTAGTAACTTTATGTCAACAATATGTTTGTACATTAAAATAATATTCATAGGCACCTAGAGCCAAAATGAATCAACAGAGATCAAGAAGATTCAGAGCGTCGAAGGAGACAGTTGAGAGAATTAATGAAACTAAAAGGTTACGCGATATATTGATATCAAGAGGTGCAATATTGCCACCAGAAAAGCCAAAGGAGGAACATTTTGACAGCAATTGTATTACACCGGTTAGTAGAATCGGTTTATTTTGTATTAAGGTGTTCAAGGAAACAGTTTTCAAGTGACTATATTGATTATAGGGTACACCTTTCATGGCTAGATTATCGAAATGTTTGCATTACTATATTCATACTCGTATGAATAATGACCCTGGTTGGAGTAAGATAAAAGTAATTTTAAGTGATGCAAATGTACCAGGCGAAGGAGAACACAAGATAATGGATTTTATACGTAAACAGAGAGGTAAATAAATATTTAGTTTCCAAAGTTATTATACAAAAATACAATTTTCATCCTTCCGCACATATATTAAATGGTTTTTTTTTTTATATAACAGCACAACCCGATCATGATCCCAATACGCAACACGTTTTGTGCGGAGCAGATGCTGATTTAATTATGTTAGGACTTGCAACGCATGAAATGAATTTTACAATTATTCGTGAAGAGTTCAAACCAAATAAACCGAGACCGTGTGACATATGCGGTCAATTAGGTCATGATATGAAGGAATGTACGGGTGCGGAAGCAGACGACGAAGAAGAAGAGATTCCTTTGGAAACTGAAATCTTGTTTATATTTGTGCGTTTAAACGTACTCAGGGAATACTTAGCGAGAGAATTGGAAATGCCTGATCTACCATTTAAGTACGATTTTGAACGAGCCATCGACGACTGGGTATTCATGTGTTTTTTCGTAGGAAATGATTTCTTACCACACCTCCCATCATTAGAGATTAGAGAGGGGGCAATCGATAGGCTCGTTAAGTTGTATAAATCAGCAGTGTATAAAACAGGAGTGCGTAATATTTATTCAACGCAACCATATTATTTGAGGACAATACTTGTTAAATAATAATATTATCGATGATAATAATTTTTATTACAGGGTTTTTTGACAGAGAGCGGAGATGTGAATTTAGATAGAGTTCAACTGATCATGTCCGAGCTCGGCGATGTTGAGGACGTAATTTTTAAGAAGAGGCAGGAGAATGAATTATTATTCATAGAGCGTGAAAAGCAAAAGAAGAAAAATCGAATGCACGGAATCGGTAATAGCAAGCCGAAGTGGATTCCTACTGGACAATTTGCTCCTATGGTATACATTATCGTAGCAAGCTATTAGCAATAATGTTCTTTTAATATCAGTGATCATGTTAACAAAATATCTATTTGATAACAGCCATTAGGTGAACGAGTTAAGCCGGTACAAAACGCCCGTTACGAAGCTTATCAGATGCGTGTCCAAGGTAGAAATTATAACACAGGAGGAGGTCATAATAAAGCTCTAGAGAGCATGATGCAACCAGAGGTATGACTATGTAGTTCAATCTACATTTATTAGTGATTTTATATTCTACAAGTGTGTTTCAAATATGTTGTAGGAATCAGCTGATAAGAAGAGGAAACTATCCCCCGAAGAAGATATAGTGGATGGACAAGCGCATGACGAAGTACGATTGTGGGAAGATGGTTTTAAAGATCGTTATTATGAATCGAAATTTGATATTTCACCTGATAACTTGCAATTTAGGTAATAACATTGTAATGCGTTATGATTTACAAACAACATGATCAGTCATTTATAGGTAACAAATTTTGCATTGTTTATACAGAAACAATATAGCTTTGCAATACGTACGTGGTCTGTGTTGGGTTCTACGTTATTATTATCAAGGTTGCGCGTCGTGGAAATGGTATTTTCCTTATCACTATGCTCCCTTCGCTAGTGATTTCATTAATATTGGCGGTTTATCGACAGAATTTGAAAAAGGAACAGAACCTGTAAGCTAAAATAAATCTACTAAACGTGTACAGGAGCAATTCATATTTAATAGATAATTAATATTTCAATTGTTGCAGTTCCGTCCGTTAGAGCAGTTGATGAGCGTATTTCCAGCTGCTAGTAGCAGTCACGTTCCTGCTCCGTGGGCGAAGTTAATGAGCGATCCTGTAAGTTTAATAGAGTGTTATATTTAAAAAAGAAGAATTGAACATTTATCGCGATATTTAATTAATTCTCATAAAATCATTTGCAGAGGTCGCTAATTATAGATTTTTATCCTGAAGACTTTAAAATAGACCTGAATGGCAGAAGGTTGGCTTGGCAAGGAGTTGCTTTGCTTCCATTCGTGGATGAGAAAAGACTTTTCAAGACATTGAAACCATATTACGAGCTTCTAACAGAAGCAGAGAGTATGAAATTAATTTTGCCAATCTTTCTAAACGTACAGTTTTCCTCCGTGTTACGCAATTAGTGATATAACACAACACGGTAGAAAAACAATTGCAAATTCGTCGTCGGAGGCAAAGTAGAGTAGTATATTCGATGGATGAGAAAATTTTCGCACGAAATTTTCCCGTTTTTCTCGTTCATCGCCTCTTCGTTCGGAGGTCTACATATTGGCGGACGTGTCATGAGATAATAGCGAGGATAATAATATGCCTTCAGAAGACCGCCAAAATGTGATGCTAGAGGGAAACTGTATGTTATATTCGATTCCAAGAGCACAATTGCATCCGTTATAATTTTTTTTCGTAGTAAAACGAAATACCAAGGGGCACGACCGATTGTATGTTGGAATGGAAAACAGCGGTTACAATTTTATCAAAGGATTGTACATGAACAATGTTGAATCGAACGTAGAAACTTCTATATCTATAGATGGGATGCGCGGCACTGTGATGCTGTCAGAAGATTGCGTTGGGGATGGTGCCACTTTATCCTCCCCTATATACGGGCGTCCCGTTAAAAATAATAAAATATATTGGTACGCACGATCGGTATACATTTTTAATCGTGTGTTCATTGTAACTCGGCTTATATTTATTTTCGTTTCGTATTCTTGGTACAGCATTCGATTCAAAGATCCGCAATACAGCAGTAATTTTATTTTCCCTGCAAAGAGGTTGAAGGACGCCAGAGAACCACCGAAAGTATTAAAACCGGTAGATTTTGAACGGATGAAGCGTAGCAATGACAAGGTCTTTAAACCTCAGATCGGTTTCACCCCTGCAACTCAAACTGCGTCTTTGACCGACGCTGGACGTAGGATGCTTGGGTAATTTATGTCAATATTGTGTATTTTCTTTATTTAGATATACTATCTAGGTTTTCTTAATTTCTAAATAATAATTTTCTCAATAATTTCTCTTAGATCTTTTCCAATTTGTTGCAAGCACATTTTTGTGCTAATAGAATCAGCTGCTAACTTAAACTAACTATCACGAGCCTTAAGTATAGACTTAAACTCTGTCGTTTCATGATTAATACAGTCATTAATATTTACCAAATCTGTTTGCTCGCAGGCATTATACAAACCATAATAGAGCACAATCTCCGTATACTTCCGTGTCTGGACCACCAAGTCTATATCCAGATAATCAGCACGGTGAGTTATTGCATGCATTTTATTTTATTGAAACCGTGCGATCATTTAAATTTAAAAGAAAAACGATTTGGAAGTTGAAAAAGAGATTGGGACTCGAATTGAAAGGGGAAAGAAGTTCTTATCTTTAAATCAGCTCGGTACTCTCCGTTTTTCAAACAATAACATAGTTTACGAGAGCCAAATTAGAGCGCACGCGACTCTTCGCCATCAACGGCAGTACCGAAAAAAAAATCACGCAGGGGTGTTCATTGTTTTTCCCATCACGATGGAGGTCGCGTGGCCGATCCACCCCATGGTTCGCATACTTGTTTCGTATTTTGCTCGTCGATCGGTTGAAGGCGTTTTCAGAGTGCCCTTTAGTTTATCGATTGTACGCATTACAATCCATTCTTACATTTATCTTCTGCTTTATTGTAACTACGTATCTGTACAAATTCCATTGAGAGATCTCGCTTCGAACAAGCGCCGAATTTCTTATAAACATGAATACCTGCAGCGTGCAAAGGAAATTGCGGTCTGATACCGACGGATTATACGCTTTCTCATTGGCGAAAATATGTTACAAAATTTCATGCGATTAAAAAGCATGTGGCACCTTTTAAAATGGTATGACTTCTTTAAAACTGGTCGAAGTGACTTGAATTTTTTGGTAAATGTTAGAGGCACTAGTTCACTGTACAATGATTAAAATACTTTCTTCCTTTTCTTTTTTTAAATTTTGCTATTACTTGGAATAGAAAAAATGTAAGAATTGATAATTGATGTAACTTATATAACTGAAAATTTCATTGAAAAATTCTAGTCACTTCGATTAATTTTAAAAAGTTATACTCTTTTAAAAGATGTGTGGACACTTTTGCTCCTCGCTCTATACATCGTTTATGATGCAATATAAAATTTATTTAAGTCATTCAATAAGACTAAATATACCACTGCAGAATTATAAAATATATCAGCTTTGAATGAAGTTAAAATATTCCAAGCCAACAAAAAGTAATGTGATACAGTCGAAAAAAAAGTTTTGATAGATTTCGTATAATTGTTTTCTTTCAACATACATGATCTGTATGTGCTGTTATTTATTTTTATTAATTACCCCAACTGCAAGTACCGTTACTTACATCCAGTACACTGCGGATTGCCTAAGGTACAACCAATAATTCCAGCCTCGTTACAATAGTCTGTTTAACAAACTCTTCCAAGCAATTTACTTTATGCTGGAACAGAATAAATCTTGCAATAGGGCTAAACAAATCTTCGTTCGATTCACGTGACCAGAAATGAAGCTACGATTAAGCCAGATGCGATTTTCAATTTTGATTTAAAAAAATAACACCTACACGTTTACACGTGTGATCATCCGAGGCCCCGTTTATCAACGATTCCGTCTAATTCGATCAGGCTCGACAGCGTCAAAAATTGATTCCGCTTTCCTAGAATCTTGGCGATGCTTGTCCGAGTAGGGTGTGGATGAAGGGGTGTGAAGGGGGGCAGAGTCGGGTCTCGTGGGGGTCAGAGACAGTGACGGGAGCCACGAGCCCGTCGCGGCAGGGGGCGGGCGAGCTGCTAGAACCGAGGGGTTCCGGTGTTCGGATTAGCTGCGAGGGTAGTTCGTCACGTAGAGCGTGACTCCGGCCGTTTCGTTGTTTGGCACGTCGAGGCTAGGAACTGTTCCACGGGCTTCGCCCAATTATAAAACAAACGCGGCGCACTCCGTAATTATCCAATTAGCGGATGTTCCACCTCCCGAGCTTTCACGTATATCGTCTGTCTGTCTGCCTGTCCCACACCCCTGCGCGATCTCCGGCGTGTCTGCTCTGAATCACAAAGGCGAACGGCGCGCGACTCTATCGCTTTGTGCCAGCGCGATTCTCGTTACACCGTCGTTGCGCCGTTGTTTTTTTTAACCCCTCCCGCCGGCGTGCGGCCGTCAAACCGAACAAACTCGTCTCTCGTTTTATGGAACGCCGTCGAACGACCGCCGGATGATTTCGAAACTCTCTCGGAGGTCAGCCGCCCCCGAACCGTCCCGACATCCGGAAAGATGAATTACGGTTTCAGACGGACGCGACGCCGTAGTAAACGACGCCTTTCGCTCCGCTGCGGGAGGCGTGACCGGCGTACGCGACCAAGGAGCCCGGACACGACGCGACGGACCCGTAAAAACAACGCGTCCGCGCGCACGGACCGTGGCGTGTGATTGATTTACCGAGGGGCGTAAACGCCAGGCACACACGCGTTGCACCACACGACTACCGAGATCCGCTTGCGACGATCGACGTCGCCGACCGTTGCCCGACGTTTTATCGGTCGATGTGGTGATCCACGCGAGAATTTCTAACCGATGAGTCTATCGGTAAGGATATACAGTATCGTTCGCTTAAGTGTCGCTAGATGGTGTCACCGCGACACTCATCCGGAGAGGTAATAGGTACTCTAGACAATCGCTCGAATTGCTTCTCGTCGCTTTGTTCACTGGTTTTGCGCAACGAAGGCTGGTGAAATACAGTAAATTCTCGCTAATTCACGTTCTGAGTGTGCACAGAAATGGACGATTTGGGAAGAGGAGATACGATTATTTATATATATTAATATATACAGGGTGTCCCGAAAATGTCTCGCAATCCGGAAATGGCGGGTTCCTCGGATCATTTGAAGCAGCTTCTTCCTTTACAAAAATGTTCTCCGAGACACCATTAACGAGTTATTAACGAGAAACAGTGACCAATAAGAATCGAGCACGGCTGACGCGAGGCGGCCCAGCCAACCAGCGCGCGAAGCCCAGTTCCGCTCATTGGCTCGGTCGCCTCGCGCCAGCTGAGCTCGTCTCTCATTGGTCACTGTTTTTCGTTAATAACTCGTTAACGGTGGCTCGGAGAAAATTTTTGTAAAGGAAAAAGTTGCTTCAAATG